TTTATTTTGGTCTCTGTCTTTCATGTTAGAAAGTTTCTCCATAGGCCAGGCTTAGTGGCTCACGCCTATAATCCTAGCACTCTGGAAGGCTGAGGAAGGTAGATTGGCTGAGCTCAGGAGTTCATGACCAGCCTGAGCAAGAGCAAGATCATGTCTCTAAAAGTTAGCTGGGAATTGTGGCAGGCACCTATAGTCCCAGTTACTTGGGAGACTGGGGCAAGAGGATCATTTCAGCCTAAAAGTTTGAGGTTGCTGTGAGCTATGAAACCCCAGCACTCTACCCACTCTACTGAAGGCAACAAAGTGAGACTCTGTCTCAGAAAAAAAAAGAAAGTTTCTTCATGTATCTAGAAATTCTTTGTTGTCTGCTTATATTTAAGACGAAGATGCTAAGAAGTTCACTAAGAAGTTCCATACGGACAGTTGGGACTTACCAACTATGAGTTTCACTATGGGGTGATCTGGTCAACTGCTTGGCTGGAGAATCCCTAATGTTAATATCCCTAGGTCTTGTCTCTAATGAAATTCCCCCAGAGAAAAGGCTTCTAGTCTCTAACCTGAAAAGCATAAGCCTGGTTGCCAGAGTTCTAAAAACTTTAACTTAAGCCCTGTTTTCAACACAGTATTCTTACACTCAACTATACCCAGGTGCTCCTCAATCTAAAAGCCCTGTTTTCCATCTCCAACAAATTAACCTCCAGTATTCTGATAAGTTGAGGGAGATTAGTTGCCAAGATATAAGGAGTCAAGAAAAATAATCACTTCAAATAATCCTCGCAGCTGGGCAGGGTAGCTCCCAGAACTTTGGGAGGCCAAGGCAGGAGGATCCCTCAAGGCCAGGAGTTCCAGACCAGCCTGGGCAACACACTAAGACTCTGTCTCTACAAAAAATATGTTTTAATTAAGCTGGGCATTATCCCAGCTCCTCAAAAGGCTGAGACTGGAAGATTCCCTTGAGCCTAGGAGTTCAAGGCTACAGTGAGCTATGATCATGCCACTGTACACCATCAACCTAGGTGACAGAGTGAAACCCTGTCTCTTAAAAAACAGTCTTTATTCTAGTAATCTTAATATCATCTTCACCCCTGTTGTACATGGTGCCACTAATTTAAGGGACATCAGGTTGCTAGGTTGCTTCCAAGCTTTTTTCACTGGCTTAGTTGCCACTTCACTGCTAAATCAGTAATCACTTAGTTCTGTTTTCCAGCTTCAACCTAAAATTTTGCTATTAACAACTCTCCCTTTTTCTTTGACCTCTTTTAAAAATAACTTTACTGTCATTTCATTAGGACTTAAGGAAAGATAAAGTTAAATGCTAAAGCCATCAAGTTTAAATGAGTCTCCATTCATTTGCCAACCTTGGGCAAACTTGTTTAATTCCTGATGATTTTCTATAACCTTCACAAAATGACCTTTTCATAAATGTAAATCTGCTCATTCACACACTTCTTAAAAATCCTTTAAAGGCTCCCAAATGCCTTCAGAATAAAGTCCAAATTATTTATCTTGCAAGCCTTTTCCTGATTCAGGTCTCCTTTCAGGCTCACTACTGTCACACTTAAACCCCCCACCACCATGCTCCATGCATTCCAGCCAATCTGAACCCCCTACTAGACTCCAAATCTGCTAGGTCCCTCCAGAGCACCATGCTCTTGCCTATACTTTTTCCCTTTTCCACTCCCACCTGGTTAACCATTTAAGATTCAGTCAAAGGCCAGGTGCAATGGCTCATGCCTGTAATCCCAGAATTTTGGGAGGCTGAGGCAGGAGTTTGGGACCAGCCTAGGCAACATAGCAAGACTCTCACCTCTATCAAAAATTTTAAAATTAGCTGGTCATGGTGGCTTGTGCCTGTAGTAGTCCCAGCTACAGGAGAAGCTGAAGTGGGAGAAATGCTTGAGGCCAGGAGTTCGAGGCTGCAGTGAGTTATGAAGAAGCCACTGCACACCAGCCTTGATGACAGCAAGAACCTGTCTCTGAAAAAATAAAAAGATTCAATTCAAGAAGCACTTCCTCTAATAATCCTTTCTCTGTGCTCCTTGCCATACCCTCTGGGCACAGCTCTAACAAAATATCTATTCCACTATCACTCGAGAGTTCATCTCATTCATCTTTATATTCCCCAGAGCCCAGTACATAAAAGGTAATCAGAAAGGGAAAGAGAAATTGGCTGGAAAAAGCCAGCATCTGAGAATATATCAATAGTCTCTGTTCCAGTTGGACTTACGGTCAGAGGCAAGTGCTAAGGAGAATAATGTAACACTTAACCAAGTCAAGCTTTCCCTGGGCGTACTGAACAAAGGGCTCAGGACTATCCAGTCTGGAGGAATATCCCAAAACTCCCACTATTGTCACCTAGCACCCAAGAGATGGTTAAAAAAAATTTTGGAGAATGAATTAAACATAGTCAACAAAACAGTATCCCAAAAGTGGACAAGTGTGAATGGCCTTACGCTTGGGGATATTTCAATACCAGCTCTGACCACAGGAGGCCGTCAGGCAGAGGCGTAGACTCGGTCAGGCGCAGGGCGCCCTGGGAGCTGTAGTTCCCCAGGTGGACCGAAGAGGGCGCGGCTACGCTGAGCATCCTGGGAATTGTAGTGCGCGCTAGCGCCCTCCGCGCCGGCGCAAGACCACGGCTACTTCCGGGACCAATCCTAGCATTTCGCCGGGTGAAGTCCCGTGGAGGATTCCCCGAGTGATAATGGCTACCTACAGCCTAGCGAACGAGCGACTACGCGCCCTGGAAGACATCGAACGGGAAATTGGCGCCATCCTTCAGAACGCAGGT